GTCGGAATGAGGAGATTTGTTGGGTTCCCTTCTTAATGCTAAGTCCAAAGCCCATAAGGGTTTAAGAAACCCTAAAATTCGTTCTTCTATCTCCTCTGTGTTTTTTATTTTTCGTTACGCTGGCCGATCTGATGTTTTAGGCCGACCTCTAATTGAAGAGTCGAGCTCCTAGCTCGTCGTTTGACTTTCGCAAAGACTTTTTAGCCGAATTCGAGGGAACCAAGTTCCCAACAACAACTATATCAACAAAATACAAGTATAGGTGAGTTTTTCATATATATGCCTTCGTAACAATAAAATTCAAAACTAAAAATTATAAGAAAGTAATATATAACAAGAACTAAAAACTATTCTTAGCCTACGCTTGTTCATAGCAAAACACCGTCAGCCATAAAACGAAGATTATTGGGGTATTTGATTGTGTTTTAGTTTTTTTATTCTTAAAATTATTTTGTAGCATAGTTCTGGAAACATGTATTTTTTATATTTTTTATTTTGAAAGTTAAAAATTAAAAAACAAAACAAAAATAATTTAGACTTACATATTTAAATTTGATTCTAAAAAAAAAATTATAATTTTTTTTATAAAATAAGTCTTACTGAACCAATTTTTTTGAAAAATAAAAAAATAAAAAATTATTTTTCATAACAGATTTCAAACGGGCTACATGAAATGTTTTTTTTTTTTTTCTCTCGTACATGTCTCTCCCGCGAAAACACCTACATCTAACGCTCTTATCCTGCGCCTCTATTCGCCACTGTTCCTGTCTTGTCTTCCTCTCTCTGCTTTAAACCCATTTTCAGAAACTTCACTTGCACTTGCGATTTCAGAGCTTCACTGACCCATTAGCACGTGCACGCTGACCCATGTCCCCAATTTGCAGAATCTGTGAGTACAACCTTGTAACTTCACTTCACTTTCACTGCAAAATGCATGCACACGAATCTGAAAGCTGGTCCCTTTGCTTGATTCTAGTTCATGGAATGTTGTTGCAGGTGACCCAGAGGTTTAAAGCTGATCTCTTGAAGAAGCTGTTAGAGAACATAGACGAGTTTGGGAACGAGCTTGATGGGGTTATAGAGGTTTGCGTTCAGGTGAATGCGTTTTTTCAATTTGAAGAACAAAACTTTTTAACAAAAGCTTGCTCAAGCTCCTAAGGGTCTCATTTCCTTTTCGTTTTCTGTGAAAGTTTACCTGTTAAGCACATGAAATTCCCTTAATGTGGTGCAACATTTTGTAAAAGAGTTGTTCTAATCCGAAAGCAATAATCAATTGGCTAAATAGAATACAAGAAATACGAGAAATAATTATTTCTCTTTTCTTTATTTTATTTAACCAAAAATAACCAAATAACAAGATTCTTCAAATAGTAAAAGGTTTTATAAAAGTTATGCTTCTACGAAAAGTGATTGTGTTATGTTATAGAGATTCGTTTTATGTGCCGTAGCTTTTGTTTTTGTTTCAAAAAATACGGGTTCCACAAAATATTGTGTGTAGGAAACTTTTTGTTGTCATGTTACATGATGAAGGCAAATCCCAATCTTAAATAGGCAAAACAAAACAAAATAAAACGGAATCAAAAGGAATCATGCGCAATCAAAGGAGATAATGCACAATCATCGCATACTCAAATATAATCTTAAAATAACAAAAAAGAAAATAACTAACAATTATTTAATTATTTAAATCCCTAACTATGAAATAAATTATGGAAAAGCCCAATTCAAAGTCACTGAGCTCGGGTGCATCATCTTCGTAATGCTTTGATTGTTTTCAATGTGTTGTAATGGCTTACCTAGTTGATGCATTTATTGTGAAGCTGGTGATTTGGGTTTTGTTGTTGCATTCAAGTGATACGTGCTTGTGTAAACGCAATGTTTCATTCTGTTACACAATGCTTTGGAAGTAGTGAGCTGCTTGAACATGGTGTTCTGGTTAAGAAAATCTAACTAACAAGTTTCTCAGAATACCTACCACCTTTATTCAATTTAGTTAGTAATTGTCTTTTTCTCCACTCTTGTAAAATATGTCGCATGTCACATACATGTTTAAACTTTATGGACAAAGTCTAACTCTAGAAAATCTTAGATTTGGTTTTCATTTGTTATTATGAGTTAGAACCTTACATCTGTCATACTCTGTTGAGTCCGGCGTGTTGTTCTTTTTTATTATAGCTGTGATGTGATATCCATTTGAAAATCATTATATGCATTAGTATTTTGTCCTTGTCGCTCTACAATTTCCTAAATCAAGATTTGTACCTTTCACAATTTTTTATGTTAATTTTTTCCTGTCTAGAAATTTATATTTTGGATCTTAAAGAATTTTTAATTGCGTAACAATCACTTTGCATTCCTTTCATCTAGCAAGAGAGAAGGGGACACTAACTATTTTCATTGTTAAACAGTTCTATTCAAATAGATTTATGTAAAGAATCAATTCAACTCAAAAGTTTAAACTAATGGGTGAGGGCATTTTAATGATTTATAATATTCTTTAATAAGCCCTTCACACGAGATCCATTGGGCTCAAAGGGTGGACAATGCACAGGTCCGCCTATCTGTACTAAGAAAATTTCATAAGAGAAAGTGAGGTGCGGCGAGGATCGAACCCAAGACACAAGTTTTGATACCATGTAAAGAATCAATTCAACCCAAATTTTTAAGCTCATGGGTGAGGGATTTTTAATGGTTTATAATATTTTTTTACTAGGAAATCACTTGACAAGGCATGCACTTGTTTTCTAATATCCGCTACATCTTTGTCTACTTTAGTTTTGATACAATGATACGGATGTTTTTTGGAAAAAAATAAATAAAAATTCTACATGTCATGTTTCAAGTATTAGAACAAGGGCTATGCGTTCAAGAAGTGTTTGTGCATTTAGTGAACTTCTTGAATGCATATAAACAGAAAATCTGCTTTTTTACTTGAAGGATATAAACCTATTGTGATATATCAGTTCTGCTTTGATGGATTTACTAAAAGATGGGTCTAGGAGAGTAATTGATCTCTTATACAGACTGAATTTCCTTGTGATCATCAGCGTCTTTTTTAAGGGAAAAAAAAAGATGTCGTCAATTATCATATGCAGTGTTTATCTTTTCCAGCATTCTGTTTAGAAAGCTGATGCTGATTAAGGATTCTGTTCGTCACTTCTAGTTTCATCTGAACCGTAACATTCAAATGCTTAAGCTTCAGCATAGTACTGTCAGAGAATTTAATTACTTGGCTTATCACGAGCAGTCCTAAAATGAAGTTGAAAGACCTGCGTCTAATTCACTGATAATAACCTTATTGATTACCATACCCATTCTAAGAATATCCCCATGTCATAATTTTTTGGCCAATTTTCGTACATCTAAAGTAATTTGGTATTAATGTTTGTGGCCAACATTCTTTTCCTAGGAGAAATGATGTAACATTAAGAATCACAAATGTTTACTGATAAGTCACATTATGGTCCCAATTGCACGTGCCTTCATTTTATATGGTCCTTTTCTTTTTCCTTTCAGAGTCATTGAGAATTTATTGCACATTTGATTTGTGGTCCTAAGTTGACAGGATGTTATTATTACTTAAAATCCTTAATGATTGACATAAAAAATAAAAAATAAATCCAATTTAGGTTTACCTGTTTGTCTATATTGGGTCTAAATCAGTAGAGCCTGTCCGATTTGGGTCTAGTCATCTGGTGATATACATTTCTTTGGATGAGATGATGCAAGTACTAGATAAATTGATCATTTGAAATGCTGAGATCTGGAGAGGTGTGAAATAAGTTATGAGGCCTTATTTCTTTAAATATCCAGTATGTAACATGATAAAATATCACGAAAACAGTGAATACCTTACAAAAAGATAGTTCAATGGTAACAACCAAATATGAGTTTCATTGGAGTTCAGTTTGCATGCTGGCTCATATAAGGATGTGCTTCCTGGTTGGTAATTGATATATACCTCTACTGCTCTACAGTCATGAACGTGAGGGCTGTTGCCTGTAGGTTTCTGATTTATTCCCTATTACTTGCTAAGTTGCTACGTTAATCATGGTTTGAGGGTCAAGACAGCACTTAGAATATCAACTAATAATTTATTATAACTAATTTGAATTGACATCAGTTTTGGTATCTGAGCATGTGTTGGATTTTGCTAGTACATACATATTAGAGACTCAGCTGATTCATAGTTCACTTGTTTCAAGTTCCCGGTGCATAAATGATAAAAGGAAGGTTTTGTGTCTTCATGTTGTTGTTATGCAGGAATAGTTAAGTAATAATTCTCTTGTATCTGTGAGTGATCTCTATTAACTAAAGGAGAATTTTAGCCCAGCCATTATCAAAATTTTGTGATTCATAAGTCATAACACTTCAATTATAGCAAACCCTTCCTAATTTCGTCTGTCTATAATCTGATAGCGTATTCATTTCCTTCTGCAAAAAGGGAACTTTTACTTTCTTTTCAATCAGGAGGCCAGACTTAACATGCAATGGTACAATGATTGACCCCCAACAAGAAATTACCAAAAATAAAAAAACTTTTACTACAAAATCAGCACAAATTTTTAGACAACCTCTATCAAAGTATTTCAAATTTTCTGACATGATTGGTCCAAAGCTGACAATGTTTTGACGTGCTTCCTGTTCTTTGATGCTTGAGCATTGTGGCAAATAGTAGAATATTTAAATTCCATTTTGAGATTTGAGTAATTATTTAATTTTAACCAGTCTTTGTTGGAAAACAGATATTTCATGAGTTTTTGCGCAAGGTGTCCGGAGGTCCTAGGACATTATTGGTGGAGCCATTAACGGATATGTTGGTTTCTGTAAAGAAGAAGAAATTACCACTTTATAATTTATTTATTTTTTAATTATGGTCACAAAATTATGTTGACAAATGACAAGGACTGGGAAGTTTGGAACTCAAAACTAAAGTGATTTCCACTTTATAATTTGTTTTAATTAAAAAATGAAATGTTCTCTTCAAGTTGTACGTAAAGAATTGCTCATTTGCTAATAATTAAAAGGAAGATGTGGATGCTGTAAACTATATCAATCACAAAACTCACTTCTTTTATATTTTTACATTCATTACTTTTTTTTTTTTTCTTCTTGTTGGGGCTATACATACATGTTATCTCTGGAGCATGGTTTTGCAGTTGAGTGTGTGATTGGCGTTGGAAGAGAAATCTTGGTTCAAAGTTCAAACCTCTGTTGAATTTCCATGCCTATGTGTCACAAATTATCTAGGAGGAACATCCGACATGAAAGAGGTAGTCAAATAATGTCCTATGAGCCATTATGCATGTCACAACTTTGCACCAATCAACTTGCCGATTCTGAGATGCTTTGTAAAGAGGGGCGCCAGGATTTTGATCTCAGTACAGCGGGATTTGCCTGCGCCGCCCTTGGCCTGTGTCTCTCTGCTCTCATTCCCTGTAGTTCATTATGCAGTTTAGCATCAATACTAATTGAGGATGAGGATGCTAGCTAACCCATAAATTGAAGACAAAAGTTGTGTTTGAAATATAGTTCTTGTATTTTCATTTGGCTATGATCACTCATTTTCCCTTCATTGTTTCAAAAGAAATATATTGTCCAAATTTAATATAATTTTTGACAAGGATCAGAAGGATCGATATGTCCTACTGGTAACAATATATAAATCCATGGTTTAGAAGATATATCCATCAGAGAGATTCAGCACCTATAGACCATGTGATGTGAAGTGGTAGATCAAAGTCTTGAGTGGATTCACTGTAGGGATGGATAAAACATAACTTCCTACTAGAATATTATTCATGGAATAGTAGTTAATTCAAAGGGAAAAAAGAAGAAAAGGACTGTTAATATGAGAGATATACCTGATATGTCTTTCCTGTTTCGGACTCCCCTCCTGTCTGTGACTCACTTGGTGAACTCTGCTTTTCAGGCTGCACTGTGTGCTGTTTATCAACTGTCTCTGCCTGTGGCTTCCTCGTCTTTGCATGCTTCTTTGCTTTCAAGACCTTCATAACCTCTAAAACCAGAAACAGAGGAAGGTGGTTTCAGAACATGAAGCTACTCAAGCACAGCAATTGACCCTTTTCACAGGACAAGCACAAGAGAAGGATTCATTAGAAAGATCTGTACCTTGAGTAGTGAGAAGCCTGTAAGCATGGCCAAGATTGAGAGTCTCATTACTCCGGAGCAGCTTAACACGGGTAAAACGCACGGTCTTCTGCTCTTGGTTCTGTCCCTGTGGTGGCACAGGCAATGGTATTATCAAAGACACATAGTGACCTGGATTAGTCCTCATGACCTCACTTGCAGTGATTGGCCAATACAACCTCTCTATCTTCCCACATGGATGCTGGATCACAAGGACTGCAGCATCCACAGCTTGACAGTTCCCCATCTATCTCTCTTAGTTCTCTTTAAGGTTCTGGAAGCAAACAAAAGAGAAAAAAGATTAAGAAAATGAGAGAGATAAGGGAGAATGAATGAATAGAGGGAAGGAGGGTGAAGTAAGCAAAGGTCTCTATCTATACAGCTCCTCCTAGCACCCCACAGATATAGTAAAAACAGGTTCTTAGACCCTTTTAGCTCTCTTAACATATTGTTATGCTAGGCTAGTCAATTTAAGCCAAAGAATTGACCTTAAATGCATAGGGGTATGACAAAAATGTTGTGAACGTGGTTGTTAATAGTTGTCAATCTAGTAACGAAAGTGTTTCAACTTACATGTTTTTTTTTTTTTTTTTTTTAAATTATTATTTTAATATTCGGCAACCAGTGATTGGCACCGGCCTCTAGAACTAATGCAAATGCCACGTGGAGAGAAGAGAAGATGATGAAAATTGGACGGATATGTTCGGCGATGTCGACGCGGTCAAGCATTAGATTTAAGGTAAGACAAATGGGTCTAACATATTAACTTTGCTACTAACTAAAAATAAAAAAATAAAAAAATAAAAAGTAGTAAAAATAATAATAAAAAGAATTGGCTATAACCAAAGCGTGCGTTTGAATAAGATTCTTTTGAGTGGACATTGGACAAGGACACAGAACCATCTTATCCAAGTTGCATAAACTTGCATACCCTGTTGTTTGGGTGCCTAGAAAATCTTGATAGAAATTAAGAGAAAGAGAAAATGTAAAAAGAAGAAAAGAAAAGAAGACACTTTCATGAATTAAGATTTTGGCAAATTTTCACTTCCAAATTTGTGAAACCCTTCCTTGGTACATGTTTTCAAATATTGGTGCTCAGTTACCACTTACCAGTGGCATGGCAAAGATGACACCATTATCATCCGTGGGAATATAATAAACATCCAATGTCACATAGTATAACTTTCTTGAATGCTTCAAAGTCCAATGCAATTTAAGTAGCTTTAAAGTGACCCATTCCGTGGCAACTAATTGATATTGTATAAAATGTGTGTATGCAACCATTGCAAGCTAAAATTGTTTGGGTGCTAGGCCCTTAGGCTTTATCCTTTGAGTGCTGTTGAAAGTGGTTTGGACCGAATCATTGTAAACCATTCGTAATTATTAATAATATTAGCATTGAGATAAATAAATCTTTTGAGACGGCTGCAAGAGTCTTTTATCATAATCTGCAATGTGGAGCAAACTTTAAGATCTACTATTAATTAGTTTGGAGCTAATAACAAGTTGATACGTAGCTCACTCAAACTATTTTATGAACAATAAATGATAGATTTGAGAATCCTCATTGATTTATGGAGCAAAGTTTTGTGCGTATCTTCTTGAGTGCATTGACAAGAAGGGATCGGAGGGGTTGTCCACTACTCTATTATAATTTCTCCATGATCCTACCTACTCAGTGATGAGAAAACCAGAATTTTGGCATAACACTAGAATTTGTATTTTGTAGTGAGAATACTTTTATTATCGATGCTTCCATATTGATTTGAAGTTTAAATATAATTTTTTGTACTGTTACAAACACTTTTATCTTGCTTCATCAACTAAAACATATATGTAACTATAGTCTGTGGGGTCATGCTTAAAAGGGCCTCAATAAGTTGTCAGCTTCTATCCCCATGTCATCTGGCCAAAAAATTTCTTGACATAACATAATTATTTTGTATGTTTTGCTTAATAAATTGCCTATATCTTGGGATGAACAATGCCTCATTAAGTTACGACAAGATAGGTAATATTGCTGAAGATCCTTGACTCTTGTAAATCTGATATTGCTTAAACTATGAGAGCCCCAAGGTTTGAAATTTTCTTCTTTTGATTCACATGTGTAAACATCTCTGCCTAATGTCAGTCTATGCAAGCCATGTGAGGTGCTGGGTGATTTTGGCTCAAATATTAAATGAGGAAAGGACTATTTCTTGTTTGAACATGACTCATGTATGTGGCTACACTCTAATATTATATAATAAGAGTTTTAGCCCTATGTGCCCATCAATATAGCCGTCATTAATTCTTATTTATGGGGGTCTGAATATTCTAATGTTAGGACATAATTTAAATATAGTAGTTGCTGGAATTCAATCTCAATAATGGTTCATATTTGCAACTTGTGGGGGATACCAAATTCAGGTTTTGTATGGCTTGTACCTTGGCTTTTAAACATTCTCCCATTTATTTAAAACTTCCTACCAAACATTGGACTCTGAAAGGCTCTTCTTGGTGGGGACTTTTCGTTCTTTTGTTGATGTGAAGGACATGAGTCAAGAGTTGCTTTCTCCACATTCTTCCCCCCCATGATAAAAACAAAATCATCCATCTAAAAAGTACTCCCAAATAAACTTATTATCTACCAAAATAGTATTGTGAATCTAAATATCTCAGTTCCTGATAAAAATGTAAGTAAGGGAGGAAGGTGGGGGGAAAAAACAGATGCCATGGTGTTATAGGGACAGTCAAGTACCAAATAATGTGCAGAATTTTTACAGTCCTCTGTCTGATACAAGTTCAGTACATTCTTTTACAGAAAAACTGCACCTGTGTCGTTGCATATAAGCTTTGGGGGGACTATAATAAAGGTTGTGAATCTGAGATATATATAATAGGGTATGGTGTCTTCAAATCATGTTTGTCTTCTTTTCTCTCTTATTAATATTTTATTGGTTTCAACAAATCAAGGTGCAAGATACTGTCCTCTGCTGCAAGGTTTACTGAACATTGTTTACATTGGTCTCACCATATCTGTTTTAAATCTTTAATTCACTAGTTGTTTCTTATTTTCATTTACATATAATAAAAGAGCAAGTGATTAGGCCGTTGGGGTTTTGCCTAGGAGGCTAGGACCAATAACATATATCAAATGAGTATATGCTCCAAGGCTAATGGGACACTGAATTGTCCTTAAGTTAACCAGATAGTGCAGTATCTCCATGATATTTATGCATATATAGTGGAAAAAGCTAAAGAAGAGAATCAATTTCAGCTCAACAATGGAGATTTATTCTTCAGAGGCTACCTAACTTTTAATGATTAAAATTTCAAGTATGTTGCAAACTTTTCTTAGAATATTAATAACTTTGTCATTAAAAGTTATTAATTTTTTTTGTCATTAATATTAACAAAGTCTTTGTGGATTGATGTATAATTTCTTAATTCAATAAAGATTGGAACTAGCATCAAACGATTCATATAGAGGATTCTATTATATACCATAAAGGGGTCAAACCTTAGGTTATCAGCTCGAGAAAAAATTTCAAACGAGCCTTGTAATCATGATAAGCTAAGTGCTTTAGTTTGAAGTTATCAACATATCGTGGTCTTGTAAACATTAGGGAAAGGTTTAAAAATTGTGAAATTTTGGAGTGCCATGCCCATTTTGCAAAAAATTTAATTGCCTCTTACATCATGAATTGACCAATATATCAAAGTATGGAATACGTATAGTCATTTGCTAACCATTAAAAGGCCCCAGAAACCAAACCCCAAATTCATCGCCAAAACTAATAAACGAAGAAAAAGATTATCGAATTATGTATTATGCCTACTTGCCTTTTACTTTTGGGCTCTTCTTAAGAGGTGCACTAAGGGCATGTGTTTTGAGACTGAGCCATCCAACCATGACTCGATCGAAGTACTGGGTGACTGGGTCATTGGTGCAACCATGTTAAAGAAGACAGTGGATGATGTTAAATCACTAAGAGGTTTGAACCCATGAATAAACCAGAAGGGAGTAGATGATCAGAATTGTCACTGTGCAATTAAAAATATTAAAAAATAGACTTACTTGATATGTATGAAACAGACAGAATCAGAAGAATGAAAAATGCAATATCAGAGGAATAAAATCTGAGCCCACAGAACGTGTCTCCTTAAGACAATTTGCCCCCTCACTGATGCCCAAGGTTGATGGACACTTGTCTCCCAGGATAGAACGGATTTCGTCTGAAGAATGGCGGCACTACCAATCAACAGCCTAAACGAACACAACAATATGCCAGAGGAAATCACACCGGAGTATGAAAAGGAATATGCAAAACCGGAAGGAGAAAAATTCCGGCAGAGTTTCAGTGCAGAAAATTGGATCCATTTTCTGAAGGTGTCAGTGTCTATTTATAGACAACGTAAAGTCACGTTCCAAAAGGCACCTATTCGACGACGAAACAACACATCCGTTGGACACGAAAAGACACATTCGTTCGACACGAAAAGACACATTCGTTCAACACGAAAAGACACCCATTCAAGGATGAAACAACATGTCCGTTAGGATGAAACAACACATCGTTTAGGATGAAAAGATACATCTGTTTGTCGACGAAAAGGCACACCTTTTCACTACCAAACTTCTTATTCATAACCAATAGATTGTCTATACAATTTATATATATATATATATATATATATATATATATATATATATATATATATATATAAATTCCAACAATCCCCCACATGGATAAGAAGTCAAATCATCGTGACAAAAAATGCACAAGAGTATAAATGCAAAGTGTAATTTCCTCAACGAGAAACAACTGCATCGAGACAGGTGGAGTTACCTTTGAACCTTCTCTAGTGAAAACCTATCGGATATACTCGGTCAATCGGTGGTCTAGGTCGACTTGAACCGTCAACCTTTAGTGTATACCTAGACAATAGGAGTCACACAATTGCTTCTCTAGCATTGTTGGTCCTTTGTTGCGCCCATTTTGGCCGTGGGACACCTGCCTGGTTCTGCGAGTGTTTTAGAGAATCGGCCTTTGTAAAATTCTCATAGAAGCGGCCCTCACTTCACACTCACATAGGTGATTTCTTGTGATGTAACTCACTATACATCATCTGAACACAACAGATTAAGAAATCATTAAAAGCCTAAGTGCTTACCCTCATAAATACACTGCCTTGTCTTAGGAATGAGTATGAGTTTAAAAACTCTACAGTGTTTGAACAGTCGACCATCACTTAGTTGTCTCTTTGAACCTAGTTCATGGGATCTCCACTCTTCTAGGTAGAGTTACCGCAATGCTCAACAATTGATAGGCCTTAAACCCATTCCTTTCGACAAATTTTCGACCAACTCTCTAGGAATCCCTTTGGTTAACGGATCCG